TGACTCTTAACTTTTATAAAGAATATCTCTTTGGATTTGAGACTTTAGTCTTTGCAACTTTACAGATCTTCTTTATGCACCAAGAGCTTGTAACACTCCAAAGAGAAAGGAAAACTTGAAATCGCATCATATGACCCCTTTAAATAATCTACAATAAAGAATTAGCCTACGCTTTAAATGAAGAAATTACATGTAATAAATCTGTTCAGATTTACTGACCCTTGTATTCATTTACAAGGTATTGATTGCCATAGTTTAATGCTGGGTTTAAATGAGCCAAAATCATCACAATTAAAAGAACCAAAGACTTAAACTACTTCAGTCTGTGTGCATTGAATTTATTTAATACACGAGTTTCACAATTTGAGTTGAATTACTGAAATAAATGAACTTTTCCACGACATTCTAATTTATTGAGATGCACCTGTATACGTCTATAGGACGTTTCCTATCAGACGTCAAATAGACCTTTAGAAGATGTCTTTAAGATGTTTATGATTTAGAATGTATGTAAAACTGATGTCTTAAAGATGTCTATCAGATGTTCGTACACAGCAGATGCTTTCCAGATGAAGTGTTCTTTAACAGACATCTTGCAGACGTACGTGTGCTATCTGGGAGCTACCACAAGGATGTGAATTTACCTTCTTGATCAGTCAGACAACAATTGTAGTCCTTAACTGGCTGTATGGTGTGGCCTGCAAATCGACACAACTACTGACAGTTTTTAAAACACTCAACATTACGTGATTACTGGTGTTTCTAAATGTGTGTATCCTTTTTTCTTTTTCTTTTTTTACCCTTCTGGAAAATGAACACTCTCAATAGGCTATTTGATTATGTAGGCTAATTTTTAGTTTTGTCATTTTTGTTTTCTTAAAGTTATTCATATTTTCACCACAAAGTCTTTACAGTAGTGTTTTGTGTTTTACAGCACTCTGTGATGGAAAGGTCATTTTAAACATTTTTTTGAATAAAATGGCTAGTTAATGCTAGTTTAACTATAAATGCTAGTTTCAGCTATCTTGTGTATTCTAAATAATATTTAACATTTTAACACTATTTTTGCGTATTTTGGTTAATTTAAGGCTTGAAATGAGACTCATCACAGAGGATATCTCATATATCATCCCAAGCATGCTTTTACTGGCATTGACTGATCACCTTGCTAACAAATCTACACTAGCTTCATAGCTATAAATATAGTCAAATGTTTCCAGCATTCTGCAAATCCTACAGTGAAATGTTATACTGTCATATTAAGTGAAGTCATGAGTATTCTGGTAAGTTCAAAGGGGGTGTTTATAAGTGTGGGTTTTTAGGTTAAAAATGAAGATGATGTGAAGAAAGGCTTGATCTGTGCTGCAAAAGCAATAGGACTTTGTTGTGAGAGAAAGCCGGAGGGTTCACTTATGGAGTTTCCTTTTCTCCCTTACAGCCCAATCTGATTGATGTAGGCAGGAACTGTTTCAAATGGGAAGCAGGAAGTGTCTGAGACAATAGAGGTTTTGAGGAGTGGTCCCCAGCTGTACATTTATGGATAAAGAAAAAGGATACCGTTGTGAATAAACTTTCCTCAATGCCAAAAGAAAGAGGAAAGCATTTCTACTCAAACAACAAATCCTTAAAGGGGTCATATGATGCGATTTCAATTTTTCCTTTCTCTTTGGAGTGTTACAAGCTCCAAGCTCATAAAGAAGATCTGTAAAGTTGCAAAGACTAAAGTCTCAAATCCAAAGAGATATTCTTTATAAAAGTTAAGAGTCAACCACGCCTACCTAAAACGGCTCGTTCTAACACGCCCCCACATGTCTACGTCACGATGTGGGAAGATTTGCATAACGCCGCCCAAATGTTCACGCAAAGAAAGAAGGCGTAACTTTTATTCTCGCTGTAGCAAGTTTCTAAATGGTATTCATGAATAAAAAATACAAAATAGAATTTTCCTCAACATTGTTGAATACAAATGCTGAGTACTGATTTTTAATTTTATTATTATTCTTTTTTACATTGTTTACCCTTACATTAAGAAAATGTATTTACTTCAAAATATGTAATGATTTTATGTATATACAGAATGTTGTGTTAATGTATAACAATATATTGAATAATAAGGAATTGCCGCTTTTAGTACTATATTGGAAAAGATGTGACAATATATTTATATTTTTATCTAATTTTATATTCAATAAAACATTTAATAATATATAAATGTACATGCGATAAAATATGGTACTGTGTGCTTATAAATATATTTGAACATATACTATGTACTATATATGTTCACATTTATATGGGAATATGTATGTGCAATATATGTACACAATATTGCACATACATGAAAATAGATATTACACAAACGTGAACGTACATGAAAATATATACAGTATTGTAATATATATTAGTTATAACCATTTTGTCATGACTTTAACGAGACATCCAACAGTCAAAATATCTTACAATTTTAATGTTTTCAGTAAACGCCCTTTTTTTCTTATAAACATCACATATACGTATATTTTATATGAAATGTGTAACTATACAAACAATAAAGTGAAATAAAAGTTAATGAATGTGTTCAGCTTTGTGTAAACCTTTATATTATGTTAAGTAATGAAAGAGAAATTAATTAATTGTTTCAATAAAGCTATTACATGTACAATTTTTTTTTCTTCGTTGTTATATTTCTTTAATGTTTCAATATATAACCATACATGTTCCATGTATATATTGCAATATATTGAACAATATAAACACTAGTTTCCTATATATGGATTGTATTATTTAATACATTGCATTATATTTGACCAGTATATTCATATTTTTGTTTCGTAAGTGATATACAAATAAATACTTCCAAAAAGCTAGTTTTAGAAATGCAAGACCAAACTTTTTATTTTGAAAGCAGCACTAGGCCTATGTAACTTTTTCTGTGTTCAAAATTTGCAAAATGTATATAATGAGCGAGTACATCATGAATTCATCTTCCAAACCGCGTTTTTGTCTTATTCCGAATCACTACGGTACACTTATAATAAGTACTTATATTTGGACTATTGTAGCCTGGTCGGGTCGTCACCGCTGCGGAGTAACACATACCTGCGTGAATCGCCAGAGACATAAACTTAGAGAAGTAGCTCCGGTTGGAATGTTCTTCCGCGGGATGTGTGCAGTTCTGTTTATTAACCGCTAGAGCGCCAAAAGTTACATAGTGCTGCTTTAAGACATTGAGAAAATGCCACCAAGTCAAAAGCACACAGACAGATCCAAACGTACTACACAGAACTGATTTTTACAGCTCCTGAGGTTTTGAAGGCAGTGAAATACACAGATCTTTGTCACTTTAAGGAAACAAGGGCAGAAGTCCTTGCAATCTTCAACCTCACACAGGAAATCTTCACCTCAGAATACGGGGCTAAAAGATGGTGTTTTATCAGTTATATGACTGCTTGACAGAATGACAGAATGAGTTGTGCGCCATTTAAGTAATTTAATAAAGTTACATGGGTAACAATAATACGACACATCTGCATTGTGTGCTGGAAACGTTGAGCAATAAAGTTATTACACTTCCAAAGTACTTACTGACACTGTTTATGTCATTTTACACTGAATTATTTGACCATACACTATAAAACGTATCAGTTAAACACATCTAATACAACCAGACCCTTCCTCAGAGTACGGACATAGAATGGAGGTCTTTAAATCTCTGCGAAACAATATAATGTTATTTTGTTCAATCCAAAGAATGTATGATTTACAGGATGAATGTAAGGGAAGCATCCTTGTCTGAGAATGACACACAGTCGCTTTCACATACACACAGAACACAGGAGTGTCAGTGTGAGTTATCTTAGGTCTCATCATCATCGCTGTGGTGCTGGGCTTTCTCCTCACTCACACTGCTCTCGTCGATGTTCTCCAAAGAATCTGCTCTCTGCACTGTCAGGTCAGCTACATTGATGCAGGGTAGCGTGTTCTGCTCCGGGTACCTCCACGGCTTCAGATTGGGCTCGTGTTTCCGCTTCCACTCCGGGTACTTTAGGCAGGCTTTGTAAATCTTTTTCATGGCCTGTGGAGAAAAAGGTTGAAAGATCTGGACCATGCATTTTATATATGCTTTTATTCTAAAACAGGGGTGTCAAACTCAGTTCCTGGAGGGCCACAGCCCTGCAGAGTTTAGCTTCAACCCTACTTAAAGGGATAGTTCACCCAAAAATGAACATTTTATGTTTATCTGCTTACCCCCGGGGCATCCAAGATGTAGGTGACTTTGTTTCTTCAGTAGAACACATATGATGATTTTTAACTTAACTACATGGTATGTGTGTTGGAGCAGGGTTGGAACTAAACTCTGCGGGGCTGCTGAGTTTGACACCCCGTTCTGAAACTAAATCTGGTGGCCAAAACAGAACATTGTGTATGACTTGCACATTTCTAACTACCAGATGGCAGCAGAGGAAAACTGAAATTTGGGATTGACAACATGAGCTTGGCTGTTGAGTTTTTCGAGCAATAGTAAGAAGTAAGAACAATAACTTGGGTCATCTGAGGAGTAATTTACATTTAAAAAAATTATTATTGTTAAAAATAATTTCAATAAAATACAATTTCAATAATATTTCACAATAATACTGTTTTTGAGCATAAGACTTCTTTCAAATCCATATGGAAATGTATGTACATATATTAAATTTCCATATATGAAATATATTGTCATATGAAGTAAAAACATATATGAATGCATATAAAAATGCATATATAAATAAAATATATATCGTTGACATATATGGTTGCTACATCTAATACCATATAAAAATTAATATCATAGATATTATTATATTCTATTCTATTACATTATATTATATTATATCTTCATCTACCCAAAGAATGTACATATATGAAAATGATATATCACCTAATAGGTAATATATATGGCAATATTAGTCTCGATATACAGTACAGCAAAATATGTCATATATTACATTTCCGTATGAGAGAACATTAAAAAATCCTACCGACCCCAAACTTTTGAATGGTATTGTTTGTATCATTCTCAAACACCATTTTTAGAATCTCAGAATTCTGAAAAGTTATTTGATTTACACATATTATGTACATAAATTATTTCAAAAACATGATGTAAAAAGAAAATATTATCTTTCAATGCACTTACCTTTGGTGCCACTAACTGTGAGGCCCTGTTTACTACCCACTTGGGTAAAGACCCTGAAAAGAAATCGAGATAAAGTTTTGAAACCAATACATAAATATATATGTATATATTTAAGAAAAAATATGTTATGTTTATATATGAAATATATTTATATATAATATAAAATATAAGAATATAAATATATAAATGTATATACATGTAAATATTTTCAAAATATATACTGTATGTGTGTGTATTTATATATACATAATAAATATACACAGTATACACACATATATTATGTAAACAAAAACCTTTTATTTTGGATGCGATTAATCGCGATTAATCATTTGATTAATCATTATATATATATATATACAGTATACAGTATATATATATATATAGCAAAACTGCAACTATATTACAGTAATATTAATAGTGAAATTTAAATTTCATAAGAAATCAATAACTGAGACACAAGATAGAGCCAGTTGCCTTTATAGGGATGTCATGGACAACATTAGTAAACATCTGGCCGTGACTGACCAATCAGAATGAAGCATTTCAAAGAGCCGTACAATGAGCTGACCAGACATCAACATCTTGTGTCAGATTTTCCATGGAGAAAACAATGAAAGACATAAGCCTGTTGATGCTATACATGTAATTATTCATTACAACATGGGGATTTGATCACCCGACGCCGTACTTGATACCCCTGTCAGACTTTTGCCATTGATCAGGCCTCTTCTGTTTCAAGCGCCTCGAGACCTGGAAGGCTGACCTACATACCAACTGACATACTGTGCTGGACTACATTGTTACCTCTGCCAAAATGTCTCATAAAATCAGTGCTTCTACAGACCTAACAATCCAGACCAAACACAGACATACCGGGTGTTTGACAGAGTAGTTGATTATCAGATAGTCATTGCCAAGAGGAAGCCATGACCGCATGGTGACAAAGTCTCTGTTCTTCAATGGACTTGGACATTTCCCTGTAAATAAAGAAGGACATGCTTTAGAGTCCTGGTAAAGTATGAAAAGACAAGAAGGTAAACTTGCACCACTGCATATTATGTACACTTAAAAAATAAAAATAAACTTTTTTTTTTTGTATACTCTCATCACTCTTTTGTGATATTTTGCAGGAGACTCCTCTTGTACTGTCACTTTAAATTACTATCATCAATGTCCCTTTATACTTTACTGCTGAAATCCATGCATAGTACTGCAGCCACCCACAACTTTTATACCGTATCTTACAATATTCATAGTAAGAACAAATGGGCTTAATTAAAGAAAAAAAAAAGTGCATTGGTGTGCTTCTCCAGGAACACGGTGGAAATAACAGCTCAGTTGTGAAAGAAACAAAGGAGTGACTTACAGGAATAATATCCTACATCTGCATTAACTGTCAGCCTTCCAATATCGAAAGTGTCGATCATGTTGGTGTCCCATTTTTTCCGGTAGCTCGTGTCGTGCAAGACGTCGTAGAGGGTCTCTGCTGTCACGTCCTTGCACACGATTCGCATCTAAGAGAAAAAACAGGCATTGTCTCACTGAGTCATTCAAATCTTAAGAACTTTTCCATTACAGTTGAATACAAAGTTCACAAAGTATGTTGAGCAGTGAAAAAATCTCCTGTGGTTTTCCCTCTGGTGCAGCCGTGATAAAGTGCTGACAGATTTTGAATGCACTCTGTTACCGGGCAGATGAAAAATGAACGCTTTTCACTGTGCTGACAAAGGCCTGCTACCATTATACATAGATCTATTCATTTCCTTATCTTTGAAAGCCCTGCTTTCTGCGTGATTCAGCCATGTCAGGTCACAAAGAGTAAAAGTTGACACAGCAAACAGTGAGTATAAAAGGATCCTCAGTGGAGTGAGAGATACAGTGGAGCTTTAGATTTAAGCATGTTGGCTTGCATTTGTATTTCAAGCTCACGCGTCGAGCCAAACCCTCGTTTTTTTTTTTTTTCCACGTATACTGTAGCTACCTTATCCTGGGTTGGGAGGAGGGTCAGGTAAGCATGAATACATCAAATGCAATGTGATCAGATATTGTATGGCTCTACGACGCAAGAAACCGTGTAACCCAATCAACTCTACCCTGGCATCATTTAATCATTTATCCCCAACCCCCCACAACCCCAGCTTGATCGGTTGCTGCTCATTTCCATTAGGTTCCTTGGAACAAGTTTTATTTAGTCTCTATGAATGGAATGTCGTCAAAGCCTACAAAGCTCAATTATTCATGAAAAGAACGCATCGGTGGCCCGGAGAGCTGCGTGAATTATTGACGAAGGTCTGTCATCTCCTTTCATTTTTGCAGCTGTTACAGGTCTAAATAATTTCCCCACACCTGCCTGCAACTTTGCTGAAACAGCCCTCATGCATAGGTTCTCGCATCGGAACGGCTTTTAGCCATTGTTAGAAAGGTCAACAGAAGTGCTTTTACACACACAAAAAAAAACATACACACACACACACACACACACACAGAAAAAGGCCCAACTCTGGTAAGCCAGCAGGAGGGGCTTGGGTTTCCTCATCTGAGCCTGCTGTTACCACGGTTTTCCGCTCTTAATTTTTCAACACATCTCATGGGTGCAGTCTGTCCCTGAGAAACCGGTCTTTCATCTCAGAGACTGTGGATCATGAAGCAGTCAGGCCTGGCCTGCTCCACTGTACGCTGAGTTTCCCCTGGGCAAATGGCCCATAACCATATCTCTGTTTGTTTCTTTAGGATTTTCTCTGAAAGGGTCTGGAGTCTGTGAGGAAAGCTACTGTTCAGGAGCTTAGAAGATATACTGTACTACTGTTTTTGCACAGCGAACACCGATATACTGCTGTTCCACAGGCAATTTATATTCAAGTCTTTGGTTCACATGCTAAATCTTTGTATACAATTTTGTATACTACTAAATATAAAAACTATACTACTACTACTATACTAATAAATAACAACTACTAAATAATATTTTTTATGTTTTGAATGAAGTCTCTTATGCTCACCACAGCTGCATTTATTTAAACAAAACTACAGGAAAAAAACAGTAATATTTTGAAATGTTTTAAACTGCTGAAACTATTTGAATATATTGTAAAATGTAATTTATTCCTGTGATCAAAGCTGAATTTTCTACATCAATACTCCAGTCTTCGGTGTCACATGATCCTTTAGAAATCATTCCAATATGCTGATTTGTTGCAAAAGAAACATTTATTATTATGCTGACAACTGTTGCACTGCTTAATAGTTTTGTGGAACCTGTGATACATTTTTCTTAGGATGCTGTGAAAATGCTCAAAAGGACAGCATTTGAAATATAAACCTTTTGTAACATTATACATGTCTTTACTGTCAATAATAATAATTCAGGTGCATGAGCTGTAAAACAACACTATAAATCAATAAATGGTTGTTGACACAAAAAGGTAATGTGGCTATAATGAATTACTTCCTAAAATGCATAGGCCAATAGAACATCATCTCAGTATTGTTAATATAAAAACCATATTGGAAAATCCAGTTTAGGTGTTTTATAACAGCAACTGGTTTCTAGCTGGTCATTGTTGCTGCTCTATTCCAAGTAACTATTCATTACATACTAATGCGTATTTCTTAGCTAACACTCACTGTTCTCACAGTTACTTGTATATTTTCTAAATTTACTAGTACCTATTTACTAGTACCTATTTATTATATACTAGCACTCAGTTGGGAGACACTACATCTATCCAAATTATTACTAGTCACATTTGCGTATGGCAGTTGCCATAGAGTTCAGACAAAACATCATGATGATGCTCGTTAAAGATATTCCAAATATTTTTAGGAGAAAAGACCTGAACGTAGGTCGAGGTTCCCAATAGTGACAATTCATGGTAGCGGGTTTGTCACAATGAGCGCTGATGTTATGATAACGGCGAATTCTCTGATTGGATCCCGCTTCAGGATTGTGGTTAGAGTAGTTTTTACCTGTGTTTTGGTCATTAAAATGTTTCTTTATCATTATTATTTTAACAACGTAGAAATCCTAATGGCAGATTTTATTAAATCATATAAATGTATGAATGTGTGCAGTCACAGTTTATTGCATCAATTATCACGCATCTTTTTGATTGGCTCCCACCTCGCCGCTACCCATTTATGCAATAAAAACTGCACAGACATGTTTTTATATTTAATGTTGTTCACTGTGAATTTTATTTAATAGTGCATCATGCACTTGTGTTTAGATATAATGTGGGTTTATCATTCAGGAATGTTGTCATTGTATGTATGGCCACAGGGAATTATGCCATACCAGGTTTTCGTGAAACACCACCACTGGTCACATTTCACCAGTTACAATCACAATCTTTTTTTATTTCTTACATACTGTATGACGAATTAGCTAAAAAAAAAATAAGTACTGAATATCTGAATATTTACAAGTGACACTGGTACCAGCATCAACTGGAAAACTAGTTCAAATGGAAATCTGCAACACAGATCCCCTTGAATTCAATGGCAAGCATATGCAGTTACTGACTAGTAACCAAGGAGACTGGTAGTAAATAAATAATTAGACCTATTACTAGTGACTAATTGAATCGATAGGCTACTAGTCACTATTGGATTACTAGCAATTAAAAAAAAAAAGTAAAAGTAAAGCAAAAATAAAGTTAGTTCTAAAGAATGCATGTTAAAACAGCTTGCCATATTATGCTACGTTCTCCAGTAAATTAAGGCTTTGTTTACTAAGCAAGACAAAGCGGATCACACAGAATCTATTTTTCATAGACAATTACTATAAAAAGAAACTGATGAGCTGTAATATCAAAAATATACTAGAGCTGGTCTTATTTTAGACGATAATGCAGTGAGGGCTGAAAGCAAAGAGTGAAAACAAACTAGTTGGTGAGTGTGAGCGTGCGTCTATTGATCCTTATTGCAGCGCACTTGCCTTGAGTTTCTGCAAAGTTTTGCACTCCTCGTCTCGACACCAAACCGTCACTCCTCCTTTATTATAACGGGCGACCCAGCCATCCTGACTTTCACATTGATCTCGGAAAGATAAGAAATCGGTGTCGTCCGGTATCTGGACTGGCATCTTGCCTCCCGGTGCTGTGAATCAGTCAGGTCTGCAGGGCTAAAAGCTCCTCTCATAAATGATACGCTCGTTTGTGTTGTCTGCTCCACTTTTTTTGAAAAAAAAAAAAAAAAAACAGTTTTGGAAAACTGACGGATCTAAAACGCGGTTTTTGTAGTTGAATCTAACTGTAGCACCTCTGCTATGTATTGTTGTATCTAATGTATGTTGGAGCAGGTGTGTTTGAGCATCCTCTTAAGTCCTGTATCAGGCCCATACTGGAGAGAGGCATTATATAAGTAAGGCATCACGTTACTGCCATGTCGTTTTTCAGGTGGAGCAGTCTACAAGGGCTCATTTAGTCAGACTGACTGATGATCCACGGATCAGGTGTCATGTATTTCAATTCAAAGGATTTCTTTTCCGTGACTGTTTTGTTTAACCTGTGCAGGTGTGTAGCCTGAATCCAGCGTCTACTGTTTCCTACTCTATCACCTTCCTTCAGCCTCACTCCTTACTATCAAAAGTAAAAGTCTGCTTTGTAGGCTATAGATTAGTAAGGAAATGTCCCAAATGAGGTCTAGAAGCACTATTTTTGTGTTCTTTGGAAAGGTGATTTCTTCCAAAGCCAAACAAAATGCTTTGTCAGAACATTCAGGGGACAAGCAACCAAAAAATATTATTCTTAATAGGAAATATAAGCTATTAAATATCAGATGAACTGTAAAAGTCAATCTGAAATGCCCATTTGACATAAAAATGAATGTTGTGTTGTTTGGACGCTAAGGGAATGTTAATAAAATAATTATATATTTGAAATTCAGATTTGGGATTTACCTTCATAAACTCTGGAGCTCAAAATAATAATAAAATGGGCGTTTTGTGTGCACTGAAATTATGTATTGGGTGGTTTATCTTCACTTTTATAGTTGAATTGTCCATATGAAGTGTTGCCCATTCTCAGTTAAGCAGATGCAAGTGTCAGTCACAATGTCTCCTGCAGGTGTCAAATAATATAGGCCCCTCCCTTCTTTGAGAAACACTTACAGCAAAATAAATTTCTATCATCAATCTTCAGAGATCCTTTGTTAAAATATTTCTGTTTTTTAATACTTATAACTGAAGCATTTGATATGTAGTTTCAGATTTTTTTTATTTTTGCAGTAAACCATCTGCAGCTTTACTAATTATTTCTCAGTATAATGCAGGATATACTGGTGCTAAAAGCCCCCGTAAAGGGATAGTTCGCCCAAAAATGAAAATTACCCCATGACATCTGATGGACGCCACTCTCTCGTGAATGCGCGTATGACAGTTAGTGGAAGCTAGAGATTAAGGTTTACAAATTTGTAAATATGTATATTTTTCTTACACAAACACATTGTGTCGCTTCAGAATGCCTTTATTAACCCCCCGGAACCGTGTGTACTTCTTTTATAAAGGATGGGTGCAATTGTTTCGACTTCAAATTTTGGGCTACCATCCACTCCCATTATAAAGCATGGATTAGCCAGGACAATTTTTAATATAACTCTGATTGGATTCGTCTGAAAG